TCTCGCGACTGTGTTTAAGATACAACATTGCACACGCGCGTATACATATACTCGTGCCACGGCACATATCCGCGTTCCTGACGTATCTTAAGTATCTTTGAGCGGCGCGCACGCGGTCAAGTGCATCGCCGCGCGGCTTTCGTTATACGGTTGTCATTATTATCATTATGATGATATTCGACACACACACACATGCATACAAGTACTTATAACGAGCTTAAATATATGTGCAAGTTTAAATATATATGTGTGTGTGTGTATACGAAAAATTAATACGCGCGTTCACCAAGATATTTAGTATATCTCTCGTACGCGGATTGTTAACCTCGAAACCTTGATCTTGCGCGAGAGAGAGAGGAAGACGGCCTTTTATGCAGGCATAGAAAATTGCTACTCTTCGATATCACAAGCCTAGTTTTAACGACGTATCCCGCATACGCGAGGCGCTGACAAGTGCAAACCTGATGGGGGTATTCAAATCACTCTACATAAGGTGTATTTTATCTATATAATGTAAAAAACGAAAAAAAACAATCTCTCTCTCTCTCTCGTCTCTATCGTAAGCTTTATGCGCGTTTGCACCTGTCCATACCACTCTATGATCGGCCGAACCTTTATTTTTCATACGCGTGATTTATATGTTAATCTAAACGCGAGCCACGCGCAAACGGCACGATATAATGCACACACACATACACATGCGCGCGGAGTAATTGCCAAGTAATTTCAGCGCGCAGAGACACATACTATAAGACGACGACGACGAGAGGTTTTATATTTAAGTCTCGACCGAACAGTACAGCGTTATGTCGTTACGCCTTGTATATTATACCGCACTTATATTCAAATGCTCGAGTCGAGTGTCCCAAAGGCGTTACAACAATAATAACGCGCGTATGCGTATGTATAATGTAACTACTCGTATATACAGATACATTATGGCAATTATGCAATGGTGAATAATGCGTATATATTGTCGGTCGATCGGTTATTCGCAACCATTGTTGTGCTCGCGCTCGCGAGTGACCTTTTTTTCTACTCCCGTAATTTTCTCGAGATATCGATGCTCGCCACACGCACACACACGCGCGTGTGTGTATATAAAATAATAGCATGCCTCGAGTTTTTTTCTTCTATTTCTATATACATCTCGTTACGTTGTAGCGGCGCTAATGAAACGCATTGCGGCTTTTTTTTAATCTCGTATACGCGTACGTATGCACATTGCGCTGCAGTGCGATAATTATGCTGTACGGATAATTTCAATTAATACATCATCGAATCGTCCAGGCTGTTTTTTTCTTCTATCTCTCTCTCTCTCCCTTCGTGTAGTATAGTAATTATATCGACCGACCTTCGAGAACTACTCGTTGATTGCGAGTCCCAACACAGCCGACGTAAAACGAGATACACGATGTATTGTATATTTACCTTTTGGCGTACGCGTGTACGCGTTCGCGTGCTGCTACAACGAAAAACCTCTGCAATCATACAATTATGACTTCTTTCGCATTTCTACGACTCGTACGAACGCGTGTATAATTTGGCCAGAATCCTCAGTTACATCGCAGCGCCGGTGCGCGCGCGCGTGATTAACAGGAGCCCACCGGGGGAAAGAATTAAGATCGTCTCCTCTTGACTAATCGTTGTCTCTTCGTCGTCCCTTTTGTATTATATACCCCGCGTACACCAAAAAATAATTTTTTGCGCAACCGTCTCAGTTGTGAAAAATTATCCGCAAAAATGAGAAACTCTTTGTAATCGCGTGACGCGCGACTCGACGGATTTTTTTTCGATTACAGTTTAAAATGAACTTTTATTCATTTATTTATATGATTTTTTTCTTTCGTTATTATGCAATTACCGACCCAAAATGCAGCATTGAATAAAAAGCTCCCCTGATATAGAAATGCTCAACATTAATAATGGTCTAATTACGAAGAAATTATAATTTATCATTTTTTGAATTATATAAGTATCATAATTGGATTGCTCTTGGCCCTTTTTTTCTTTACAAATTTTATGTTAGAACATTTACATCATTTGGAAATGACAATTTACTTGATTCAAAAAATTCACTTCAATTTTCAACCACTTTAAATACGATCATGCTACTTCGAGTCTTTACCACTAGATGGCGTGTACCTGTATTTCAGTAAATCCGCAAGTGTCAAAGTAAAAATAACGTATAAAAATGAAATAAATGAAATAAAACTGTTCAGCAAATCTTGTGTATTATTCGAAATTCCAAATTCAGGCTATGCCCTAAGCTCTTATTCCTTCTCATCCACGGCTCTCTTCTGCTCAAAAAACTTTTGCGTTGGCCAAAAAGTAGCCATCAAATTTTCATCATTTCCATCAGAGTTGGATTCCGACGATATCAATCGAGGAGCCGCGGTAAACAATGATCTCTCGGCGATCCACGCGCACACGCGTGCTGCGTATCCCGTTAAAAAAGGCGCGCGCGCGCGCTCTCAACGACACGTTATACGTTCCAACGAGCGACACGGGCGTTATTCGCGCTTCGCATGCGCTAAGTGGCTCGTATATACCATACATAATATACACCGCAGCATCCAGTGCGTAGTATAGTAGTATATATTCGCGTAATAACAGCAGCAGCAGCAGCAGTACCCGTAAGAGGCCCCCGAGGCACGTATATGTATGCACGCGTAAGGCTGCCGAGCGCAGTTCCATTATATCGACCGGACACAGCTCGTACATATACAGATGTGCGTGTGCATGTGTGTGTGTGTACATATATTCAGCTATTATAATACGGGGGCCATGTGGAATGAATCATGGCGCGGAGTAATTGACGGGCCGATGACTCCTATTTACTGCCGCCGCGCTACTATGCTATAATACACGACGATCCGCACTGCACACACGCAACTGCGGTGCGCGCGTGTTTATAGGAAATGCGACTTATTAAATGTTTGTACGCGCGAGAGAGAGAGGATGTTTGATCTTTTTTTTTTTCGTTGCTTATCGTGTAAACAGCAGCCGCGAGCTTTTTTTATTTACGCAAACTTTGATGTTGTTTTCTTTTTCATGCATCGACCGACCATCGATGTTGATGCTTCTTTCATGTATGTTATATAGCGGGTGACATTCACTTCCTGACGATTCATTAATTGGAAAAGCTCGCGAATAAAAAGGAATTATTAATATATCAAGAGTGTGTTGTTATACCTACGGAGCTTTTACACCGCCTGCCATTTAAACGCGAGATCGAGCAAACACAGTGTAACATCGATAAACTAGACGCTTGAATTTATCCGGCCAATTAGCATAGAACGAAGAAAAAAAAACAACGCGAGGTTGAATCAAGCCTCGATTCACTTGGCGCGCGAGCAGCGGAGTATAAAAAAAAAGAAAAAAAAAAAGAATTAAAAGGAAAAAAACCAATATCAATCTGTGCTTCCACGCGCGCGCGTCAATCGAGAGAGAGAGAAAATCGCTCCGACTCTCCGGTTAATTCCCTATAATTTGCCATTGAATCGTGATCGCGATTAACATCTCAGCTATGCACATAGCACACACACACACACACAGAAATACACCTATTATATACACACGTGAGTTTTATATATATTTGCTCGGAAATCCGTATGAAGCCTGTACACAAAAAAAAACACGGGTGGGCCTTTCCCACATGAACTTTTCGGTCTTTCCCCTCTATGCACGGCACATATAATCTCTTTTTGTTGTACTTTCGCATCGAGAGAGAAGGGCGCGCACGATCCAGCCAAGAGATTCCCGATCACGAGTCGCGTCGATTTAACGCCGGCAAAGTCTCTATTTCGCCGCGCCGAGCATCGACAGCTGCCCGCGCGGGCGCGAGTGTTTAAACTTCGCTCTCTCATTCTTTAATTGCTATTTGGGAGCTTCTCTCTCTCTCTCTCTCGGATCTCTTTCATGTCTCGCGCACCTGATTCTAACATTTTTTTCTCTCCTCTTTTTATTTTTCTTCGTCTTATTCTTCTTCTTCTTCTTTGGCGTGCATCAAACTCTCGAGAGCTCCAAGATTGACTCTCTCTCTCGCGAGTTTTAGCGCGCGAATAGTTGGAGCGAAGGATCCTTCGTTTTATTCTTTCGACTCGATTTTCCGTAAATACGCTTTCCGATCTGTGCCAGTTGTTGCTGCGATGTTGACTCAAGGAATAATCGATCACCGGCACGCGATTCAACCCATATAATGCGAGTCGCAGCGATCGTCCTTGACTATATAAGACTCTTTTTTTTTTCATTCTCGACGGTATTCGAAGTTGAAAAAAAAGAGGAAGAAAACGACGCGAATATGCAACGTCTTATACGTTGGTTGTCTCGAATTTCATACGAAAATTGTAGTTTTTAATCCGAAAGCTGCAAAACTGGATCTCTCTCATCGTGTGCATCGTCGTCGGCTTTCCACTTGCTCGGCCGTACGTATCATAATATACCGGGCGGTAGATTCATTAACGTACGCCTCGATTAAGGATCAGGTTGAAACGAGCCGTGTACAGTATACACGTCAAAAAACTACTTCAATCTCGCGTAAACGACTCACTTTTTTCCCGCAGTCGATCTTATATTGCGCTCATGGAAACACTTTCGCTCGTCTGCTATATCGTACACATACTCGTTTGCCATCGCCGTCGCCGCAGTGGCTGCGGTGCAACCGAGCTATATACCAACGTTCGAGCGCCGCTCGGCGCGCAATTCCAGGGGCCTACACAGGCGCGCGAGATTAACCCGCGCGCATCATTAGCCCGCGAGACCGAGGCACGTGAACTTTGATTCCCACAATGTGCTGCCGCCGCTGCTCCGAGCTCAACGAGAGGCTGTCTCTCTCGTCGCTTGTAAATACACGCATATATATTCATAGAATTCTTCGCGAAACCGCAGAGTTAAAAAAAAAAAAAAGAAAAAGAAAAAAATACGAAAGAAATGCCGCGTCGTGATTTCGCTAGGTTTTTGCACAATCTTCATACGTATTCTTTTTTCTCCCGTTGCAGACGAAGTGAGGCGAACCGAGCCAACGAGCAGCCACCGACAACATGTTCAAGAGATTGACCAGGACGCGGCGTCACAGCGCCGACGAGATCGGCGGCCTCCATCACGTCTCGGGGAAGAATTTCAGCGGCGGCGACGCCGACTTCCAGCCGCAGAGATACCGCGACAAAAGTGATCATCATCATCATCGTAGTCGCGAGCCGAGTCCCGCGTCGACGTCCCTGCACTACAACAACTCGTCGTCAACTTGTCCGTCGCCGACGCCCCAGAGCTATCTGCACTCGGCCAAGTCGCGCTTCTCGCGGCGCAGCTGCGGCGACGCCTACTCGCTGCTGTCGTGCAGCGACGAGGACGCCTCGTCCAACAGCGGCGAGAGCACCTGCACGACCAGATCTGCGTCGCGACGGGAGCAGGAGAGCAAGGAGCGGGATTACACGCTGGTGACGGCGGTGCCGGCCTTCATCGTCGAGCACGAGCCCGAAAAGCAAAAGAGTAAGATTTCAATTATATGCCCTTTTTTTGCCGTTTAAATGAATTATTGCTGTATAATTATTCGCTGCAAATTAATACGGCGAAAGATTCAACTTTATTACGTGCATCCGATGATTCATCGAGAGTTCGAGGTAGTTTCGCGTCGCTAATACGGCGCGTTTAATGCAATTTCACGCATATACTTACGCGAGATAGTTAGCTCGCGAATACATTATATGCACGCGCGCGCAAAAGAGATGTGTATAAGAAAGTAGGCTAATTCAATCGGCGACTCGCGCGTCGAGCTGCGCGATGATTTCATATTACACACACATACGTATACGCGATGCATATAATATAACGTATGCGTGCGCGCGACACGAAAAATCGTAAATCGTTTTTTTTTTCTCCGCGATTATATCTAAAATGTACTGCCCTATATTGCATCTTGTTTCTTTGTTAACTTCGTGTCAATCTTTGTAATGATTCAATGGATAAAATATCAACTTTCAATGAAATGTGTCCGAATGCATAATACCCATCCATCGAATTGGTTTTTGGCGAATTTCCTGTTACATTCGTGTTAAAATTATTAAACGCGTTTTAGAAAATTGAAACTAGTCTTTAATCTCTTCAAATACGATCATGCTACTTCAAGTCTCTACCAGTAGATGGCGAGTACCTTCTTACTGTAAATCTGCAAGCGGATAAGTAAAAATAATTGTATAAATCGAAACTAGGTTGAAAAATTTCGTTTATCTTTTTTTTTAGGATTAACTCGTTAACACTCGTTTGTTATAACGTTCGAATGAAAAAACAAACAAGAAAAAAACAATAACGCCAAGAACGGCAAGTATCAAGCTCACCGCGTACAAGCCGTCAGACTCTGGCCCGTCGAGCTGCCTGAAGCGCGACAACGCGGAAAAGAAAAGAGCGGAGACCCGCGCGCGTTATGTTTTTCATCATAATAAACAACAACGGGACGAAAGCGAAGAAAAAATTACGAAGCAGAGGCACGACGCGGTAAAAGAGAGAGATAGAGGCGTGAATTAGTGCGCCGTTCTTGTAATGTAATAATTGCGCGTCTATCTGGTCACTGCGACGACGACGATGTACTTTCTCGAGACTGCAGTCTTATATATAATGCACACACATGCTGTGTGCACAGTTACGGCTTAGGCGAGCGCATCGCGCGGCAATTATTACAATCAAAATGCGACAGTGAGTGTGTGCAGTGCGTGGACTCGACACCTCCTGTCTTCCCTAATTTAGCGTACGAAGAAATCTTCGTTTTTGTGTAAAAAATTCAATCGACGTAATGCATATTACAAAGTACACATCGATACCTCGTTACGAACATTCCACTTCCAATATATGCTGAAAGACGCGGCACTGCACAATCTCTGCCATACTCCTCGCGCTCTTAGCGGAGGTTAATTCGCGATTTACGTCGTCTCGCGAGCGCTGACGGCGACGTTGATAAAAAAAAAAAAATATAACGAAGTTAAGAGTCAATACGTATACACACATATGACTGACCTACATTTCTAAACATGTACTTATACAACGCACAAATAGATATATAAGTGCGCCATATATATAAATTGCGCATTCCTCTCGCGAAAAAAAGTGTCGCGCGCGTATATCACATCGAGTCTCCGATGCAAGAGTAGCAGCAGCCTCTTAGTCGCTGGTTGGCGTTGGTATAGGTCAGACACGCACGATACATATATACGAGTGCAGCTGTGCAGCGTGTATACGATTTTTTGTTTTGCTCATATAATATATATTTATAACCATTAGATACTCATCGCAGCCGTTTTCTCTCTGTCTCTCTCGCGCAAAAGGTGGTGGCGGCCTAAAGGACGTCTGGGGACTGCGGCGGATGGGCAAAAAACTCGACTCGTTCAGGCGCTCGGGCTCGCGCGACTCCATCTGCGGCACCATACCCGAGCGGCCCGACACCAATCACAATCACATCGACGGCGGTGGTACGAACAACAACAACAACAATTACAACAGCGACAACAACAACGTCAACAACAACAATCACAGCCTCGGTCGCAACAATAACAAAAACAGCAACAACAACAACAACAATCATTGCAACGAGAAGCTGAGGAGGAGCAGCAGCACCGAGAAGAAGAGCAGCAAGCGCTCCGCGTCGCCCTTCAAGTCCTTCTTCATACGCATGGGCTCGACGGGCATGCTGAACGCCTCGTCCTCGAGCAAGAATCGGGAGCAGCAGCAGCAGTCTCAGTCTCAGCAGCAGCATCGGTCGAGGAGATCCTCGCAGGCCAACTGCGATAGTAAATCCTCGAGTCAGACGACGGGCGACAAAAGCGACGGACTGTTTCGCAGCTGCAGCACCAGTCAGCTGAACACTAGTCCGACCTACGTCAAGGGCGACGATCCGTCCGAGGGCATCGATCTGCGAATGACCTCCAACAAACTATCCTCCCTATCGCCAGCCCAGCAACAACAACAGCAATCCGACTGCCTGCAGAGCAAGACGATGTCGTGCGACAATCTGAGCGGGTCATCGCGTCGTCGCAGCTCGAGCATCGACGAGGACAGCCTCTACGACGAGGAGGAGCAGCAGCGATGCCAGTCGACGACGCCGTCGTTCGCCCCCTGCGACTACAACGTGCCCAGCTGCCGCTCGGACTGCATGCGCAAGTCGTCGAGCTGCGACTTCAAGGAGAGCAAGAAGGGCAGCTTCCCGTACGCGTTTCTCAGATCGCGCCTGTCGGTGCTCCCGGAGGAGTCTGCGTCGTCCGCCGCGCGCAACTATCACGGCGGCAGCAAGGAGGAGCGACTGTTCAAGACCGCCTCGGAGGAGCACTTCCCGGCGCTGCTCAAGATCGAGGACAGCTTCGCCGACGGCACGACGACACTGGGCAGGCGGCGACCCGTCAAGAGCAACAGCAGCTACAACAACCACCAAGAGCATCAACAGCAGCAGTATCGGGACCATCGATCGTCCAGCGGTTCGCGTTACAGACTAGGTGGCGACTACGCGAGAAACTCCTACGCCGAGGAGGACAACAACGGCGGCAACAGTGGATACTTCAAGGTGCCCTCCATAATGCGCAACACGGGCAACAGCGACAATCAGCGCAATTCCGTCTCGCTGCCGTACCACCACCAGATCAACGACTCGGCCGAGCCCATGAGTCTGGATCTGAGCTACGACTGTCAGTCCGAGCGTCCGGCCTCGGCCACGGCCACGGCCAGGACCACCACCACGACCTTGATCAACGACAATCGACGAAATTCCGTAGCCTTCGGCAATAATAGTCACCACATCGTCACCACCACCAACGGAGTCGGCGAGCAGAGACTGTCGTCGCACTACGTCTCGTCGAACGAGTCGGGCTACGACAGCGACGGCACCCGTGGCGAATCGGCGGCCTCGGAGGTCGAGAATCACTCGAAGAACGGCAGCGCCGCGACCAGCAGCAGCGGCGGCGACGGCAGCTCCGACACGAGCAGCGTCATCGACGCGGAGCTCGACAAGCCCGTGAGGAGCTCGACGCCGGCCAGCGACGATCGAGTCTGCGTCAAGGACGACTTGTCGGCCCACAACAATCACGACGGACTGAGATGGCATCGCAGCTCGTCCGGTCGCATGTTACCCAGTATCAATCAAGCCAACAACGGCAGCAGCAACAAATCGGAGTCCTGTAACGGTAGTGGAATTCTAGCCTCGGCGCATCGCATGCGACTGCAGCAGGACAAGACGCGATTCTTGACGGACATAATCGAGCCGGCGACGCAGACGCAGGTGACGGCCACCCAGAGGATCCGCAGGACGAGGCTGGTGCAGCTGCGCAAATCCGAGCCCAAGGAGAGCTTGGGCATCAGACTGGCGCAGCAGAGGCTCGGCGAGTCGCGACACTACGTCATAGTGCAGCTGGAGAGCGACGGCATTGCTCACAGGTAAGAGTGGCGGCAACTATTTTGGCAAAAATTAGTTGTATTATTTTTCTATATGGGAAATCGCGAAATTGGTACCGTGACAAGATTCAACGTGATCGAAGGTGTCGTATTTTTCGGTCACGAGATTTCCGATTTCGTCGACAGATGGAGTATGGTAAACCCGCGAGTGGCAAAAGAATTTTCATTGTCCATAAAACCATTTTTCTCTTCGTCTCAGACAATCTTGTATAAATTTGGGAGTGGTACCCACGCTTAATCACGCGTGTATAAATCGAATAAACTCGAGGTGAAACGAGTGGGACGATCGTCACCTTCTCTTCTTCGTTCTTATTCGGCAAAATCGCGCGTGGCGATTAATTTATAATCGAGTCGCACATACGGTGACCCATTTGCTACTCAGCGAGAATATAGCTCTCGCGTAGGCGCATCTCGAAAATATACATAATTTACGCGCGCGAAAATAATCACCGTGTTTTTATTTACGCAGGGACGGCAGACTGAGGCTAGGCGACGAGATAGTCGAGGTCGAGGGCAAGGATCTGCGCAGTCTCAGCGATCTCGACGAGGTGCAGGAATTTCTGCGCTCCTGCGAGGCCACGACCATACATCTCAAGACCGTCTACGAGGAGACGGTGCCGCAGATCTTCCCACTCGAGGAGGTCAAGCATCAGCAGCAACAGGACGACGCAGCTTCGGCGACGACGACGATCAACAAATCGAACAGTATGACGAGGAGGAGTGAGTACATGGAAAACTCGAGGAATTTAGGAGGCGGCGGTGGAACACTGGACAGACTGGACAGAGCCAAGATACTGGCGCACAAGCGGCCGGACTATCTGGCCTTGAACAAGATCGCGAGCAGTCCGAGCGGTGTCTCGGTTACGAAAACAACCACGACTACACAGCAGCAGCAGCAGCAGCCGCAGCCACAGCAACTCGTGACGACGAGGCACGTGGTGCGATTCGAGAAGGGCGCGGGCAAGCCCAGCCTCGGTTTCAGCGTCGTGGGCGGCCGCGACAGTCCCAAGGGCGACATGGGCATCTTCGTGAGGCGAATATTCTCCGGTGGACAGGCCGACGTGCAAAAATCTCTATTCCAAGGTCAGTTTATTGACATTATTTTTTTTTATACTGTAAATTTACGCCGAGAGATAACAGAAAGAGACTAAATGACAAAAAAAGTCATTCTCAAATCTTACTTCGAGTTGCATTTTAATGAAAGTGAATTTTCTATATTAGTTTTGATTTTAATTTCGCCAAGATTTTATGAATCTTCTAAATTTCTCAAAATTGACACGATTCAAGATGTATGAAAATTAGTAATACATTTTAATTGTCGCCGATAGAATATAGTTGATGCACCGAACGCCAGGTGGCGGGAGTCAATTTAATTGTAAACGCACAGTCAAAATAGATAAGTTTGATTATAAATATATTTTCTAATTTTAAGTTTCTTAGCCTTTCTCTATGACTTGATTTGAAGAGACTATCCGAGAGAGGATGACCTTTCGTCGCGCACACTACGGACACTAGTGTTAATATTTATATATTCGCGAGCTCTCTCGAGCGACCGATTGATTTATAAATGTATATACGGAGAGACGTATAGACGATAGAAGCTCTCGTACATGTATAATACGGCGATCGATGATTCATGTAGCATCGGTAACGAGGATTTATATAGCATTCCATCGAGCCGTTCAATGAAATGATCGATGCTCGCGATATGCACTTTATGTACTTATATATATACGTTTGCATATAACTGCGCGGCTTTAACGAGTCCGGTAAAAATATCACAATTTTTTTTTTCACGAAGAAAACAAACTGCAAACGTCGATAACGTTTTGCGAAATTGTACGTCTATATATACCATCGTATAGGCATCTCGTATACCCATACGGTTTCGACACTCGTACGCGCGCATTTTTTCCAAGCTTGAAAAAAAAGAGTTTAGAAACGAAGCTAAGCGTGCTATGTAATGTAAACGGTCGTTCCGAACGCGCGAAAAATATATTCAACGCACGACTCTTAAGCGAACGGGGGTTGGGCACAAACGCACTTCTAGAATCAAAAGTATGTTGTACCTTTACAGACAGACGCTCGAGCGTAATGAGCAGGTACTACACATATTTTCTATGAAGTCCATTTGCGTATTCATTCATAATTCCTTTGTCGAAAGAGAGGTGTCTTGTGGCTGTGTATACAAACTTGAATATGATTATCTGTCATTATTCACTCCCGTTGCCATTTGTCACTTGTCGCGTTGAAATATTTTTCTCTTTCTCTCTCTCTCTTGCTTTATCAACTCTTTCGCGCGCGGCTCGTACTTATTTATTTTTTTTTTGTCGAAATAGTTTCGTGGTAAACATCTCAAATGTACGAAATTAACGTCGTCTACGGCCTGCGTAAGCCTAAAACGCGACTATCCGTAAACCATAATTTAAATTGCGCCAGCCTAGATCCTCCGTATATATATCGCAATCGTCGATCCGCGCGCGTAAAATCGGTGCACATTATTGCACAATTCCTCAAGCTCTGCAGCTGTGACAGAAGTCGATCGACGACCGCACGCATAAAATACACGTATCTATGCTCGTTTACGCGGTTTGCTGCGTACAGTGTGTAATACGTATAGCGCGTGTAATATCTAATTACGAGTGTCGTTGCTCTCGTTGTGATTTCTCTTTTTTTTTCGTTTGCAATAATAAAAAAAAAAAAAGGACGAACATCGTCCGCAACCACCGTTGCACCTGTACAAGCGTAGTAATATAGCATTGTGCGCGACGTGTGAATGCGCACTACGTGTGTTTCCGCGCGTAGAGAGAGTCCGAATAAACAACAAAAAAAAGCAGAGAGAAAAGAAAGAAAACAAACAAAAAAAAGCACGAAACGAGAAGCAAAAATCTATATACGAGGGAGAGAAGAGAGTAAGCCGAGAGTTAGAAAATGAAAGATTACACCAGCTGCGCGTCGCTCTTGTTTAGATGCGCTCCGCGCTTGTATATACACTTTTTTTCCCACACGGATCGCAGGTGGTTTCTCGATCAGCGGCGAGCGAGTCGTATTATATCTCTACTGTCGTATATTCCTATACGCGTGTGTGCGCATTGTTTGTGTGTGTGTGAGTGTAATAACGGGGGTTCCCGCGCGGCAGCGATGCTTCTTCGGTTGCGGTGTGTCAAGGTGCGCTCGAGTTTTACTATATATTGACTCGCCCCGCTTGTATACCATACACACATCGACGGACGATGATTACGATGCGTCGTCTCTTTTGTGTATTGCTCGTGCGGTTTATGTCGTCTATTTTTTTTTCTACCTGTGTACACGCACGTATACGCGAGTAGTGTTTTTAATTGAAAAAAATAATGAAACGAGCGACGCGCGAAGAGGACATTGACCGATGATGTCTCTATTTTCTATCGGACACACGTACGAACAGCGAAAAAATAATCTAAATTTCTTCTCGCTCAAAAATGCACTCGGCGGTCGAATGTTTCACATTCTCGCGGTTTATTCGTCGCATATACATTAACATAATTTTTCGACCAGACGCAGGTGAAATTATAAAGCCTCGATCGTCGTGTCATCTTCTAGGTCAGCGTGCATATATGCATGTGCATATGCGCGAGCAACATATCACGCCGGTACGCTGCACATTTCAGAGAAAATATTTTCCACATGATTTTCTAATTCGCCGAGGAATGCGCACCCGCGACCTACTCTCTCTCATTCGTTCGTTCAATTATTCGCATATATATATTATAATAAACATGCTGTACTCAATGTCGGAGTTTTCATATATATTAACCGGAGAAATTTTCTTTTTGCCACAGGCGACGAGATACTCTCGATAAACGGCAAAGTCCTGAGAGGATGCACGCACCAGGAGGTCATCGAGCAGTTCAAGGGCATCAGAGAGGGCATCGTCGAGCTCGAGTTGGCCAGACGACATAGGTTCGTATTTTTTTTTTTTTTTTACTTGATAATCAATCTATTTTTGACGCCCGTCGAATAAATTTCTAATTCGTCCTCTTTCTCTCCTCCCACAGGCATCCGAAGGTTCCTCTCAAAACGGCACCCTACTAGATTATAAAGAAAAAAAAACGACCGGCATCGAGCATCTGCGTACCTGCCATAATATATAGATAAAAAAAAGTAAACCAGCTATCGAAACAATATAAATATAATGATAGAATATATTATTAATTAACTCGAAGACTCACATCTATGACGATAAAAAAAAATAATAATAATTGATCATGCTAAAGCATCAAAGCGTTATGAATTCTTAGATTCTAGTCTCCGTTTTTTAATTGCTACGACACGTTAATATTTATATACATATTATATATAGATTTATAATACACTCATTCACATTGTATATTAATTGTACTGTATTAATTTTTAAGCGACTATCTATTATACTTATACTCCGACCCTCTTTTTTCACCTCGTTGTTGTTGTTGTTGTACAATGTCGAAAAAAAAATCAAAAGAAAAGAAATCTTTGTAAAACGATTTATACGAATATTTACAATTTGCAATATATATATTATATTAAATTATATAGAAGTTTATCGGACTGTTTCGCGACTACGTAGCACGTAGTTTTTCTTTCGATATAGCTCTCGCATGCGCGTGCGTTCGTATATGGTATTGTTTTCTCGTTCGTATCGAGAATGATAGGAAAGCAAAAAAAGCTCATTTTGTATTATATGTAGAAGTCGAAGGAGATTTACGAACAAAATAGAAGAAATCGTCGAATGAAACTAAACGCAATAAATTGTACGACGTTGTATTTGAATGTGATTAATTTCATTTATATACGGCTCCTCTCGTCGAGGCATCCAAGAGCCCTCGGGGCAGAGAATTTCTTCTTTTTTTTTTTTATTATAAATAACGATGAAATAAATAATTAATATATGACTATAACGTGCGTTATCGATGTTTCCCGCCCTTTCTTGTTTACATCTGCTCCTTTTTTCTCGTAGTTACTTGCGACGGTTGGCTCTGTCTAACGGGAGACCCACGCGTAGCCACTTTCTCTTTCGAGCGTTATAAACAGTAACGGTCGCGGAACATATGCTCAGTGTTAATTTTTCGGTGTGCAGTGCTAGACGTCCTGAAATCAGTGATCGCGCAAAGTCAAAATTTTTTTAAACAAGTTTCAGGTTCATAGTTCGAAATGGCACAGTACGACGACGATTTTTCCATGTTTTTTCGTTTACCGGTGTTAAGAAATGTCTTGAATGATATAAAACGAGTGGACGGCAGACGGAAAAAATTTTGCCAGATACTGGAAGTTTGGCACAATACGAGAGAGAACGAGGCGGACGACAGAATGATATTGGATCTGATGAACTGCAAGAAGTTATTTCCGAGCGTCGAGTACAAAAATTATTTTCTCAGGTATGCTCTGGAACAACGCAGCTTCGAGATGGTGAAACTGATCGAGGCGAGCGGATTGGAGATACGCGAGGTCGTGTTCGAGGATGGCAAGTCCGCCGTTCATTATTTGGCCGAGGTAGTATACGGGATAAACGATATATTTCTCTCGGCGCCAAAAGTAACGACCTTGGAGTTGATGGAGTATTTTTTGAATGATACGAAAACAAACTACCAAGACCGTCTCGGCTATACGTATTTTCACGCGGCCTGCATGTCCGGCAATGTGGCCGCGGTTAATCTTTTTTTGATCCAGGGCGTAGACGTCAATCTCGACTCGTACGAGTCTTCTGCGTTGCATATCGCGGCCCGGTACAGACGCGAGGAAATCGTAGAGATTTTATTGAAACACGGGGCCGATGCGAACAAGCAGGACGCGGAGAAGTCGACGCCTCTTCACGCCCTCGCGAGGCCCTGCCTGTGCAGCTGCACCAATGCCATAGCGTTCTGCGACAGGAGAAAACACGTCGGTAAAATAGTTCAAATGCTCGTTGATCATGGGGCGATTATGGAAACTCGCAATCGTGATGGTAATAGTCCTTTGGATTTGGCCGTATCTCGTTTTGATGTGCAGCTTGTCAAGTCGCTTCTGGAACACGGCGCGAGTCTTGATAGTTTGGACGAGGATAGAATTTTCGGCGCGGAATTCACAGCGACCGAATTGAAAAATTATCCTCTCACTCTGAACATCATCGAGATGGTACAATTATTGCAGTCGGCCGAATATCGAATGAGCGTACGCGCGAGATTCAAGATGCTTAAATGTTTCGAGGTAGTTCGAGGCGACGACACCGACCATCTTATCCCCGAGTTGACTGGTAAGTCATGCAGTTTTAGCTTCCTTTATTATTTTATTCATTTTTGTTTTATCATTTAAATTCAGGGATGTCCGATGACCTGATTCACGCTTACGCGATTGCGAATATGTTGCTATTTCATCGTCACTTTGGCCTGTACATAACCCAAGAAGCGTACGATCTCTTGGACGACCGTTGCAACGGATTAAAAAAGGAAGTGGAAGACTTTGAAAGGAGGCACGACGATGAAGAAGGAGAAGTTCGGGAGGAGGTTCATAAAACAATTGTCCTTTTGACGGAAAAATTGGCGAAAATGGATAAAATCATGATAACCGAGGACATCTCGCTCTATCAACTTTGTCAAATGAACTACAGCAAGGGTTACTCTGTAATCAAGAAATTGAATAATTGGCAACTACCCCCGTTGGATGACGATTCGTGTACACACCTAAACATCATTGTAAGAAGACACGTAGGAAATATTTTGATTAGACGACACTTGGAGTTATTCGTGGCCGATCTCTTCATGACCGATTATTGCAAATTGAACCTGCCTTACGTCGTGTGTCGCCTAGTTGCCGAGAAGATGAGTTACGAGGAACTACTCAGGTTGTTCCATCAAACGGACGAGGATCGTCTAAGTTAGCCGTGGCCGATTCGGCGGAGTGAAAGACTGAATCGCAGTTGCTGTGAATATAAAGTATAAAGTATAAAGGCACTCATGCGTATCTGTGAATAAAATTTACATATGATATGCACGATAATGCACAAAGTTTTGTGATATTACACTAAATAAGTTGCAGCATATATTGTCAGATTTTAATTGAAGTATGCAAGAATAGAAGAAGATGCTAACGATAAAGCCGTTCATGTGAATGATTTTTAAATAATGTATATAATAACGTTTAAACTATTGTATTATTGCACTTAGCCGATTCGCTGCTTCAATTGTCACTCGATTAAGTTCAAGTCGATGAAGTTGTTGAAGTAATTATTATTTTGGAACGTGTGCCAATTTATAATTCGTTCCTCAAAAACTTATACATCGTCTGTGCATTGCCTATCTTCTATAGAAAATTTTTATGTTCTATGAAATGTACTAAAATTATTTGCTAATAGGAATTGACAATAAACAATTACGAACGGAAGATAAAAAAAGGTTATTCGAATGTAATTAATTTTATTTATACGGCTTCTCTCGCCGAGGCATCCAAGACTCCTCGAGCCAGAGCGATTTTCCTTTTTTTACTACAAATAATCATGAAATAAATATAATTAACATATGACTATATCGTGCGTTGTCGATGATTCTCTCCTTTTCTCGATTACATTTACAATGTACACAATGGATTCGACACTGAGAAATGCGGAAGAATAAATTTTCAACAGATTTTACAGAAAACAAAAACGAAAATACAATGGTCGAATTCTTCTTTCACAGCAGTTTTTTCTATGCGCGAAAAAAAGCAAAAAAATTGTCAACCGATCGTCAATGGATAAATAATAATTTTCTCCGCGTCGTTGCGGAGGTCTTTTCGATTTATGCGCGGCGCTTAACAACTAACAGTATACATTCAAAACTTAAGAGGATCATTTTTGCGTCATTTGTACAATATTTACAACGTTCCGTCGATACACGGGGGTAGGTGTTTGGCTAGGGCTACGATTAAATACAATTATTGCGTGTATCACGAGTCAGCCATGAGTAGATCCGCACACGACTTGGCTTTCGTCGATCTGAAAAGTTAAAAGAGAGAAAAACGTCATACATTTTTCGTTATAAAATTTTGAAACTTATAGTTATTAAATTAGAATGCAATGCTCACTGTGAATTTGGATTTCGCGCCCGCCTGCAGATGTTGAGCGAGATCGGGCCGTTTTTCGTATTGCGAAACAGCTGCACCGCCTCGCGATGCGTCAGGTCGTGGCAGATGAGGCCGTTCACGGCCAGTATCTCGTCCCCGGCGCGCAGTCGGCCGTCCTCGGCTGCCTGTCCCGTAGGCAGTACCGATTTAACGAAGATGCCTGCGTCGAGAAAACGAATCGTTATTGTTTTTAAACACGAATCGTTAATTTTTTTGTAAACGCGAAACTCACCGATGCTACCCTTGGGACTGTCCCTGCCGCCCACGATGGTGAATCCCAGCGACTTCTTGCCCGAGCCCTTCTCGAAGACGATCGTCATGAAGGTGGACACGTTGTTCTTGGGCCGCCTCGGCAGCGTGCAGAAATTCGTGAGATTCTCCATGGACTTGTCCACGCAGTCCTTGAGGTCCTTGGGCTCCTCGGATCTGCGGCTGCTCTTGAGCCGCCTCGACTGGTGCTTTCTGAAGTGCGACGCCTCGGGTGTGGTCATGATCATGCCCGAGTTGCCGCCCGTCTCGATGCTCACGTTCTCGTAGTCGACGCTGCTCTCGAGCTGCAACAGCCGCTTGGCTTGCTGCGGCGTGATCGGCAGCGGCTGTTGTTGATTATTATTATTTGTTCCGTTGGTCGCCAAGGAGTTGGGCACCATGCGCGAGACCACGATGTCGACCTCGCCCGGTGCGGCCCCACTGCTCAGGATCTTTCTGGCCTCGGGCATGCTGAGGCCGCGCAGCCGCTTGCCGTTGACGATGAGTATCTCGTCGCCGATGCGCAGCGTGCCCTCCTGATGGGCCAGGCCGTTGGGCAGCACGTGGGCCACCAGGTAGCCCGCCGAGTCCGGCGTCTTGGCGATGAAGATGCCGAGCGACTGGTCGTGCTGCGCCTTGTACAGTTTGGCCACGAGGGTCTTCTTGGTGCTGGTGCCGCTGCTGCGTATGGCCACGAGTTTGTTGTTGGGCTCCTGTTGGGCCGACACGGGCTTCGGTGGCAGTGGCACTTCAGGTTGTGGCTGTGGCTGTGGCAGCAGTGGCTCCCTGTGACCCATCGAGCCGGTTCGCAGCAGCCGCTCCTTCTTCAGCTGCAGACTCTGTCGCAGTGGACTCGGCGGGGGTGGCAGTGGCATAGCGGCCACTACGTGACCGTTGGTGGTGCTGCTGCTACTACCACCGTTGCTCGGCCTTCGGGGTGGTATCTTGGGCGGCAGGCCGAGTATGGCCGGTGGCGGCTCGGCCGAGGCCACGCTGCTGCAGCGGTCGTCCAGTAGCGAGCTCGTGGCCGAGTCGTTGTCCAATATACCCGAGTCGTTGTCGTCACCCAGATGATTGTTGTCTTGATGATGATGATGGTGCTGATGCTGGTGCAGATGATGCTGATGATGATGCTGATTGTGATGATTGTGACGCTGATTCTGCTGCAGTTGCTGCTGCTGTTGCTGCCGCTGCAAATTTTGTTGCTGATTGTTGTCCTCGAACAAGGGATTGGTGCGCAGGCCGTCGTCGTTGGCGTCGTCGTCGTCGTCGTCGTCGAGACCCGGCAGGGCGCCGTACGAGAAGCTACGCAGCCGTTTGCGCTCCTTGTTGTCCTTGTCGCCCTGCTTGTTGTCGCCGCCGTTGATGCTCGTCGTCGTCGTCGTGCCGTGATTGCCGTTGATGGTACCGTTGTTGTTGTGGCAAGACGAGCTGACGACGCCGTTGTGGCTGACGTTGCCGTTACTGCTGGCGCTGCTGTCCTTCTTGTAAATCTTGCCGATGAGTTTACTCGTCGAGCTCTTCAGGTACCTGCGTGCGTAAAGGAGAAAAAAAGTCAGTGTTGTGTCCCTAGATAATTGTTGATTTCCCGACGGAAATTTTTCTCACGAGAAAGTTTCATAAAGTCTATAAAAGTCTTAAAAAGTCTTACAAATGTTCGGATTTCGTACACCTGATTGATGATTTTAAAGAGTTATTATTCATAAAACCTTTTGGAGACTCAATTTTTTAGCAAAAATGTTAAGTTTTTTTTCAAGTTTTTTCACCATGAATTTTGACGAGCGTGGATACCGATCAAAAATGTCTTTAAAAATATTGAAAACTTTTATCAACACTTAATAACTATTAATAACTCTTTATAACAATTATTGTCACTTGTGAACATCATTTTAAATTAAATAAGCGATTCCTTACCCGTCTGAATAATTCGGAAACAAATATCAGGTTTCAAATAAATTCTAAAATTTATTTACATCATTTAAAACTCTTATAAAGTTGTATTAACTCTTAAAAATCATGGTACAAAATCCGAACATTTAAAAGAATTTTTATGACTTATTCAGAGTTTTAAAGAGTTTTTAAGAATTAGAGTGGCGATGAGGTGTCGATTATAATGTATAAATGCTATACCTGTTCTGCATGGCTCGAAATTTCGCCGGGAACCAATTGGACGAGGCACTTCCACCGTTGCTACTACCCTCCGTTTTCAGATTCTTCTCGCTCTTGCTGACGCTATCCTGTTGCTGCTCATCACCCGTTTTCGTCGTCGACGACGACTTTGACGAGAATAGCGTGTCGCGGCTCTTTCTCCACCTGCGCCGGCGCGGCTTCGGACTCTCGTTCAGCTTGAAGCCGAACAGGGCGAACTTGTCCTCGGACTGGGGCAGTCTACTCTGCGACTTGGAGCGTCGCTTTCTCTCCTGGGCCTCGAGCTCCACGGCCCTCTGCTGCTGCTGCTGCTGCTGCTTGAAGTCCGTCTCGCAGACGGAACGGCGACTGGTCTCGCTGCGGGCCAGCAGTTTGGCCTGGCTGGCGTTGCTGCCGCGCAGTTCGCACATCGAACGGAACGGCGGCTGATCGCCGTTCTCGTCGTCGTCCTCCTCCTCGTCGTCCTCCTCGTCGTTTTCCTTATCATCGTCGTCCTCGAGATCGTCTACGTCGTCGTGATCCTTGAGCAGGCTCGTCCTGACGCGATCCAGCAGCGGCTGACGCCTGTCGCAGCTCGCTCGCCGTCGCTCGTCCTTGATCCTCCTCTTGTCCTTTTTACCGGCCGCCGACAGCGAGGAGGACAGCGACGCAGACGACGTTAGTGCGTGCGTCGTGGTGGTGGCGTTGTTGTTATTGCCATTGACGCCGTTGCTGCCGTTGGACGCCGCTCGCGAGACGCTCGTGACGCTCGACGTCTTGATGTTGTAGCAGTTGTTGCGCTCGGATTCCTCGGAACTGGAGCGGCGACGATTCCATCGTACCGGCGACATGTCTGCAAAAATAGTTTCAGGATCAGATGCGGTTCTATAGTCCGAGGGTTCGAGAGATTCTTTCAATTGTGTTTTGTACGTATCGAAGATATTCGACGTATGCGCGTCATTTCGAGATTAGTATTTTTATTCTCGTCGTGTATGAAGTGCATGGCTGTACGGAAACATTGCAAGTTTTTCTGCGCTCGATTCGGAGATACAGAGAGGCTTGACGCGCACAGCCTTCGCGCGAACGAGATCGAATGCGATCTATTTTGAGATATTTCAATCGGTGCGCGCACAGTCGCGTTCTCCGAATCGATGCATTATAAACGAGCATCGATTTTTACTTGTTTTATGGTAAAAATCGTGCGTATCGTCGTTTACAATGGTAGCTGTACGAGCTATTATTATTGGAATTAGAGAAAACAATGTCAGTTGTTATGACAGTTCCATTCGAGCGGCTTGGATTGACGCATGAGTTAATATAGGCTAGTTTATTGATATGTACATCGACGCTTATGCTAAGCTGGATTGATGAGTTAATATTTAATCATAATTGGTAAGATTTTATTAGAAGTATATGATTAGTCTAATTTGATTCAAATTACACTCAAAATTTATACATATTATTCAGGAGGGATAATAATTTTTATAATTCAGAGATTTGTCTTCAAAGGATTCTTAAAAATGAATGATTTGAACAATGCGGAAAATTCCATGTCATCAAAGTTGACTTATACACTTATTTTGACTGTACCACTTGTAGATTTACAGATATAAGGTACTTGCCATCTAGTGGTAGAGACTTGAATTATCGCATTCAAACTGGTCGTTTTCAGATCATTTGAAATGCGCCAAATATTTGTAATACAGTTGTAATAGAAAAATCCCGAAAAAACAAGCCAATCAATATAGAAATTTATTATATTTTGAATTGTTATATATTGGTCATTAATTAACGTTGATTATTTGTACCGCGATCATTACATAGAAAAATTATAATTCAACAAATCGTAGCAACAACCCGAATGCGTTGTAACAAAACCTCTCCGATTCTTTCAATTTTGAAATAACACAATTTCCTACGCTCAAAAAATTTCTGAAACGCATGTCGCGCGTCTCTCGATCATTCGACGTACCTATAGTACCCGGGTTGGAGCTAAACTCGATCGTCACCGCGGTGAAAGTGTAAAATCCGCACGCCCCGATCTTACATAACTCAACGCGGAGATTCGCACCGAGACTTCCAGTTTTCCGCGTATTCGTTGTTACATCCGCGCGGGCGTTTGAAAAATCGGTATACGAATTCTCTCTCGCGCGCGTTTTATCGGGGGCCCGATATACGAGCAGGGGAAATTCACTCTCTCGGCGCGATGACTCATTGATAGTAGTCGCACGCACAAACGGCGATAATACAACGACGAGCTGCATCGGAAATCGGTATATACGAATTCTTCCACGATACGTATACATTCATGCTTCGAGTACGTGCATATATAGGCAATATATAGCGCATATATATACCCGCGTGCCTGTCTGTCTGCCTCGCAGCAGCAGCAGCGGATAACTCTCGCGCGCGCGGAATTCCATCGAGTCCTCGGCCGGCCCTGGAGGAGTTTTTAGCGCAACGAGCCGCCTGCCTGCCTGCCTGCCTGCCGCAAATGTGCGCGCATGCATATTATAAAAGGAGTAGTATATATACGTACACGCGCTCGGCTCGCAAAAGTGCACATCGAGCAGGAATGCGGTTGTACGTATTACACACGAGGCCTGTGCAACATTTATATGTGTGTGTATATATCGCATACGCAGGCTGGATATATACGCGCAGATATGCGATTATAGAAAGTACTGCTGCCAGCGCGATCGAGAGTCGCGTTGAGGTGGGTGGGTGTCGTATTATTCATCCGAGTTGTGCATAAGTACGCGCACGGACAAGTATTGGTACGAGACGGATATTAAAAAGAAAAAAAATTGCGGTAGTTAGTTCGTTCGATGCTTTTATTATACACCACGCAGAGACACATATTCTGTATTAATACGAGCAGCTCTATTGCAAAAATGAACACACACACACACACACAAAGGGATATGTATTATGAATTATGCAGCTTGATCGTTTTGGGATTAGAGCGGAGCACAAAGACACAAAACAATTAGATAAAAAACACAGCAACGAGTCAACTCAAAACAAAGAAAAAGGACATCTTTACGTTTACGAATGCGATCGAGGTAACGATCGACGCTACGAGGAGGAGTAGTATCAGCAGCAGCAGCAGCCGAGCCGTTGGAGTAACTCGTCCGATCCCTGCTCAGACTGCTGCAACGTTGTTGCTGCTGCTGTGGCTGCTGCTGATGATAGCCTTGACGATGATTCTGATGATGATGCTGCGGCGGCGACATCCGAGACGTCCACGATAACGCGCGCCTGGTACCAGATCTGCTGCAGCTACAACTCGTACCGGCACTATTGCCGCTAGCAGCGGCGACGACGACGCGACGACTCGTATCCGATACGGATGACGGCCCACTCAGCAGTGACATTTTTTTTTTTTTTCACTCGATTCGCTGCTCTTTTTTTCTTTTCGTATACATGTATCACACACGCGCGCGTTGTACACGTTTTAATAACGATGTATATTTTTGTATTTCAACGTGCGTGCCCGATGACTCGTTTCTGTCTCTCATGAGAATAAAATGTAATCTATGCATGTGATATCCTTTCAGCTGCTGCTTCCATACCCTATGACGATACGTGCTGCTGCCGGCGTGCTCGTGCCTTCGTAATAATATATATATGCAATAGTATGTATATAATACGATATCGCAAAACCGAAGAGCTCTTGCTCCTTTATTTATGTGTATTTTATATTTACTTTTTTTGCCATGATACAACGTGTACGAACGGGTTACAGGTTTTTTTTATCTTTAAATATGTATACTCGTAAATCGAGTGACGAGCACGATTTCATCTTCTCTCTTTCTGTCAAACGCACGTAGCACAGCTCCGAGTCGACCTTTTTTTTCTACATAATATATATATATTTTTTTTTTGCTCGAGCAGCAGCAACAGCCGCACAATTGGTCTCCTTGAAAATAGCGACAAAACGCGAAATAAATATTGACTCACGCGTAATATTGCCTCACGCCTTTATGTATATGCGAGAATCTTTATCGTCCGCTGTATATCAGCGCGGACGATTTTTGCGCTCGCCCACCGGTTAAATTATACATATCGTAATTTTATACCCGATATACGTGATATTGTATCGCGAGCGACGAAAATATAAAAAAAGGAACCTTAATATTTTACAATATATCGGGCACAGGCGATATTATCATCGGCATCGCGCGTCTCTCGAGTCTTGAGCCGATGCCAGAAAAGCATGTGTGCGGCTGCAAAAAAGGAGTCGTCGTCGTTGCTCGCTGCTCGCAGAATACGATATAGATATATATATATCGGCTGCTGCTGCTCGAAACGAACGGCTAAGCAGCGGCAGATATATATTGCTCGAGTGAGCGAGAGAGAGAGAGAAAGAAAGAGAGAAGGTGAACGGCTCCGAGTCTCTCGTCGTGCCTATAAGGTACACATTCGCACGAAAATATACCGTACGGACATTATACGCCTCAGCCTCGGCGAGACTCTGTGCTCCGCTGGCGTAATGTATACATGTATATTTTGTGTATACAGAATAAAATTTATATATATCTATAGCGTTAACCCGTTTAATCGTTTAACCCGGTATATGACACGAGAAATTTCGCATGAGTCCGCGTAATTTTTCAATCGTCGTAAACTAATCGGCGCGAGTCAATAAACTCACTCGATATTTCTAACGATACAGTAAACATGATATGGCATTATGTACCTCTCCTCTCGTTCGACCAGCACATCTTGAACATTTTTGCACGTGTTTGCGTACTCCGTATACGTCGATTTATCACGATTTCTGTAATATAAGTAAGAAGTATTCGCTTCACTGCACCGCCATCGCAACAACCACAGTGTGTAAGAACCACAACAACAACAACAACAATGACAACACGATGCAATCGCTGTGCAGCTCGAGACACTCGATGCACACCCACACACACGCGCAATGTCAACTCTACACTCGGGGCATGGTTGCACTAGCTCGCGATAACGCACGCTCGTAATCTCGCAATAACTGCACGATTATAAGGCGCGATGCGATGCGTCGAAGAAGCTCTCCGCCGCCATTCGAGTCGGTCAAGTCCCAAACACTTTTTTCGGTCTCCTCTTTTTTTGCGCGCGCGGCTCCGCGTGCATATATATATATATCTATAGAAGATGCCAAAGAAGCGAGAGAGAGAGAGAGAGGAGATTTTCTGACTGGATGGGTTACATGCTATACTCTCCGTGATCACCGCGAGCGACGAGGCTCGACAGCGAGTAAGAGTAAGAGAGTAAGAGAGAGAGGAGAGAAAAGAACGCGTGTGGTGGCGGCGGTGTGGTGGAGCGCGGCCACATCAGCCGGGAGGTAAGCAACGACTGTATCGGCGGTATACACCGAAACATTATTAAAGCTGGTGCTGTACTTGGTAAAGTATATAAGCTAGAATATAGGTATATATATATATAGTAACCGAGTTCCCCTCCATGTGCAGCTCCAACACACACACTTGAATATACATACGAATGAAAAGACGAAAGAAGAAGTCGCGATTGAGAACTCGGCACCTATATACGTATTGCGGACAAATCGCGTTTATATACAGCAAGAGAGAGAGAGAGAGGACCGAGGCAGGAAATCGCGTTCAATGCCAGCCGAGAGAGAGCTCGAGTGCACTTTTTTCCATTTGTCCCTTCTTTCTTTCTTTCTTTCTTTATGTGCTTTATTTCTTTGTAATTTCGGTGCGGGCTCGATCTTTCTGTATGCGCTGCGGCGGCAACAACACAACCCTCGTCGATTCCGAGAGCGCGCCGGTGATTCGCGTATTATTATTCTTTAGGCTTATACACAGAAGCTATATGAGGGGGCCGAGGTGGTGAAAAATTTTTCTCACACGTGCTACAAAAAAAAAAAAACTTGGAGAAGAAGATGAAATAACGTCGTGTGTACCGATAAATTTCGACCCATTTAGCGAGAATCGGACTGCGGCGATAAAAATGTTTGGATAATACGATGAGTCGTAATTGTTAATACTCGAGCTTTTCGCGCATCTGTGCTCAAATTTTTAATAATCTTGTATCTCTAAGTTGAATTATTTTTTACGAATACAAACGTCGAACAGGATCATGGCCGTATTAAATGCCACTCAATCGAGTTATCGATATAAAAGTGCTCGCGACTCGATCGGTGGCTTTTTCAATAACAATAATATATGGCTCTTATCGAGAAGTACACGATACCGATAGTCACCTAGTACATACACATTTATATATTATATTCCTTATAAATTCGCTAAATGTCATTGTATACCGCTGCTTATATACTTTTATCGGCGACACGACGATTGACGTTTAATTATACACACACATACATTAATGCCGAGAAAGACGATCGCTCGAATCGCTTACTCGTTTTATCGGCTTGTTATTTTACGCGTGGCGAGCGATATTTGTCCATGTGTGTGTCCGTAAGTGTGTCTTGTACCGTACGCGCATACACACACATATATTTACGAGAGATTCGCTCGACCCGTTCTCATTTGCAGTCGGTATTATAAATGTATACATACGCAGGCAGCGATTGACCCGAACGCGACGAGCTTTTCTTTGTTATTTATGAGACGCGCGCGCGAAGCATAATCGACGTTCGACGAACCAAACTCCCGCGGACGGACTTTGCGAATCGTGCATGATTTTCCGTGTATTACGATAGCGTCGAGAGAAAATTTTATTTCGAAATAATAAAAAAAAGTTAGATTAGATACACCGCGCGAAAGCTATATTTGCCTTCTGTCAATATAATGGATATAATTTTCAGCCAAAGTATGCGCCGTACAATAATAAAGCGAATGTTTCACCAGCGCGAATATATACTTTTGAAAACCTGGCAAAAAAATACAGTAGTGCGTATAATAAAAAGAAAACTTCGTCCCATGGATATGTGGTATCTATATTTACGTCTTGACAGCTCGAGAAACGTTTACACAGCTGCTGCTGCTGCCGCTGCTGTCCGCGCACACGCGGTACGTCGTTCAATGCCCGACAGTCTCTCGAATCACGACGGAGAAAAAGTATATAAATTAATTATAGTCGAAGAAATCGGGATACATCCATCCCACGAGATGACGTGAAAGTACGTATCGCAATGGCAGCCCGTCAATTATATCGAAAACTCATTAAAAAGCTCGAGAGAGGCCGAATTTATTTATAATCACGCGCACACTCGCTCTTGGTGTCCATGGTGCTGTATAAAACATCGAGCTTAACTTTCGTGCGCGTTAAAGTTGCATTATATATATATAAACGCTTTGACACCGCTGCAAAGAGGTATACACCGCTCTAAATTCCAAAAATAGGAGAGTAGAGCCTGGTCCCAGAGAATTTCGACTAATTTTTGAAGCATTACGAGCCACCATACCGATCACCTGTTAAGCCAGGCCGATAGTAATAAAATATAAATAAACTTTAATTTGCCACGATAGGCGTGAAAATCACATATCCCCGTGCACACAAATTGGTACATATACGCGGAAAACGAGAGAACAAGAGAGAGAAAGATTTTACCGAGCGAATCGCAATAAAAATCTGCCAGCGAGTTTTTTTACGTGTCGTCGACGCGTGCTATTTGGCACGCGCCGTTGCTCACGCCGCATGCACATACACACATAGCAGCGATGCAGTATTTTCCGATGTCGGCCTCTCTCTCTCTCTCTCTCTCTGTCTTTTACGCGCGACACAGAAAGATATATACACGCCGAATGGGAAACGATCGCATGTATATACGCGCAGTGACGAAATTCCATGGCGCATATAGTTTCTCAGGCTCGGTCTCTTTGTGTAAAATATATGAGGTTCGAAAGTCAAATTTATTATAATTTTTCGTGCGATTTATCACCCGATCCATTCGAGGAATTACAATGGCGTTCGATGTATCTACGACGCTGGTGTGTATTGTAAGTGATCGCACGTACATCGGTATATCGAGCTCGATGGGCACGAGTTCATATTCAAACTGTTTTCGCGCAGCGATCGGGTTCAAGCGCGATAAGTATACATTATATGTAAAATAAACGTTTACCCGGATTGCTCGGCTGTAAAAAGTGTAATCGTTTCGCAGGCCTCGGCGTTGTGTGGCGTACACACTGCACATACTCGGCGCAGCGCCGGTGCTGCTACCATGCGGCTGCCGAGCGCCGCCACTATACAGCTCGTTTAGGACAGAGAGAGAGAGAGACTCGAGAAATTCCTTTACCGGTCGCGGCGGCTGCAGCGGCGCGCGTATTATAAGTATAAGTTCAGGAGGTAAGTGTGCCGCGCGCACTGGTCCCCGAGAGCCTGCGCGCAAGAGAGAGATCTGCAGCACCGCTCGAGCTCGCGGCTCTGCGTATCTATATTTTCTATATATATGAGCTGCGGCAGAACTGCACAGCCCGAGTACGATGTATCGATACGCCAATTTAGAATCAGCACGCGTCAATACTTTTCTACCATTGACATGAAGAAAAAGCCCTGCACATTGGTTCAGATTTATTTAGACTTATGTACACTTATTTTTATTTTGCCACTTGCGAGTTTACGCGTGAAGGTACCTAGCCATCTAGCGATGATGACTTGAAGTGACGTTATTGTATTTAAAGAAAACTGGTCTATATTTGTAAAACAATTAAATCATTAATAATATGATTGATACAAAAAAATGTTCAGTTTTTAGTTAATAAGATATTATTGATTCAAACATTTCTATTGGGTATGCTTAAAGAGGGAGTATAGTTAATTTTTTATTATTTTCGCGTAATTTTGAGATCTTTTTCTATAGATCCGGTAAAAATAAGCTCATAAGGCTGAATTACATACTGAAGACCAACACTTCAAGAGTATACCGTTAAATTTTCGTGGTAAAATATTGAAAAATGAGCCTGTGTCGAGCATTTGAAGCTTACACCTCGATAAACACGGTGTACACGATAACTTATGATAGGATTGTCGGAAACAAATGAATCGACATTTTTTTTTAAAGTTTAAATGATTCCGGAGGTATTGACGTCGAGTTTTTTCAATTATTTTCATTTTTCAAAATTTGGTGTCAATTGGAAGTCAAAAAATTGAAAGAAAATCGAAAAAGTGTATGTTTTTTATGGGAAAATAGTTCATAAAAATGAAAATTTGGAAAAAAAAAGAAAATATCTCGACGTCAGTACCTAGTGACGTATGTATTGTAGTGAGCCTTGTCGCCGCTAGGTGGCACAGAGTGAAAGTGCGGTTCACGCAAACGAGTTTGTAAAGTCTGGGCGTTAAATAGACCCGAGAAAAGCTTGTATCTTCGAAATAAAACCGTGAAAAGTTTGTATCTTCGGAAGCCTCGAGAGAGGCGAAAGAGAGGTGAATAAATAAACTGAGTTCTTTGAAAAGAGAATCTCGACTAATTCTTTCACCTCCCTCCCATTCACCATCCCCTCCCAGCCGGGACCCCAGGAGATCTGTAGCAGCGCAATACGAGCGGACGACTCAACAGCGATGCGGCGAGCAGTGAGCAACGAGCAACGAGAGTCGACCCAGCGCTCACCTACAGCACTAGTATTAATTTAATTGAAATTCTTCGTTTTTTAAAGACATTACCGTTTAAACAATTAATTTGTTTATAACTTTTAAACGCACCTGATACGAGAAAATCGATTCAGCGCATCAAAATACGTCTAGAAACTTAAAAAAATGCCGTGGAGTCGGAAATTTTTACGAAAACCCAGCCAGCGTCCGGACTATAGTAAAATACTACAAAAAGATGTGTGTAACATTTCAGAACGATAGTTTCAGTAGTTTTAAAGTTGCGAGGTACGCCGACTCAAAAAATGCGATTGTTCAGGAAACGCGCTCAAACATTTTGATGCAAAAAAATGTTACTATGGATCTTAAATTTTCGATTTGACTTTTACAAATATGTCAACTTTGCCACTTGCAGATTTCCTGAATTAAAGGTACTCGCCATCTGGCGATGAAGTCTCAAAGTGGAATTAACGTATACCGAAAGTAGTCGAAAAGAAGTCTTGAATTTTTGCAACGATTAAATTGTCTCTTTGGGCCATCTAAAATGCACTCGATATTTCAACTAACTAATTTTAACTCGTTGCTGTGAAAAAAATGTTTAAAAGAATTCACGATCATTCCGCGAGGCGAACATTTTCATCGGGTCATTCGCGACTCGAACCGAGACTCCTATATAACGAACAAAAGTATCAAAAAGACGCTGTTACGGCTTCCTCCCGGCTTCCCCAACCGGGAACGAAATAAGCATCGAATCCTCTCGCCCTCGAGGCACCGCGAGGTAGATCGTATACTTTCGTTTATCCATAG